AAGTCAGAAGAGGGCTTTGGATTCCCATGGAACTGGAGTTTAGGAAGGTTCATAGCCGCCATGTGGGTGTTGGGAATCAAACCCGGGTCCTCTGTAAGAGAAGTCAGTGCTTTTAACCACTGAGCCATCTTTCCAGCCCCTATATTCTATATTTTTAAATCACTCATCTGGTACTTCATTCTTGACTGAGAAAGCTGTTTCCCCTGATTGCCCCCAGACTACCCTATGGTGGCAGCACTGTGTGTGGTCAAGCCTTAGAAGGCCTGTCTTTGCACAAGTACAGTCATGTGGCAGTTGAACTGAAGAGTGTCTTTGATGGAGCAGAGTTGGCTTGGAGGAAGCCTGTAGGGAGGTAGCACTGAGTGTGGATGACAGCTTGTTCTAAATAATCCACTGTAGCCACAGATAGGTCCACAGTTCCCTTGGGATCAGCAGAGGATCCTAGGGGAAGGGCAGGTTGGCAGAGCTACAGTGGAAGGAGGGGGCTCTGTGATGCTGAATCTTCATGGTCTTGACTGAACTTGGAATCACTTAGGAGACACACTTCTTGGTGTGTCTATGACAGTTTCCAGAGAGGTTTAACTGAGGAGGGGAGACCCACCTTGAATGTGGGTGGTATCATCTGTGGGCTGAGGTTCTGGGCTAAATACAAATGGAGAAGGAGAGTATTCATCTCCCTTTTCTTCTTGACTGTGGACACAGTGTGACCAGCCCCCTCACACTCCTGCCAGCATGCCTTCCTGCCATAATGGACTGTATTTCCTCAAACTGTGAGCCAGAATAAACCCTTCCTTCCTTCACTTGGTTTTGTCAGGTATTTTGATAACGCAACAAGAAAAGCAATACACGATTGTTTATTCACACATCCTCTACACTGGTCCACACAGGACATTACAGTTTAGGTGGGTAACCTCAAATTCAAGGATCCCCACATGATGTCTCTCAATATCTTCATGCTGGAGACACTGGGACACACCACTTCTCCCACAGACACTTTCCCTACAAACAAGATGGCAGACTACCTGCAGTCCAGAGATTGGAAGCTTTGACACCATGCATTCAATGACCGACCCCACAAATGAATAGTTTAAGTCAATTTTATAAGAAAAGCGATCTGGCTGTTAAATTTCTGGGGTAGTTAATATAAATCTAAGCTATAATACTGCAAGTGGAAAGCATACTGAAGCGGCAGTGGCCTGGAACTTTTAAAAACTTTTTATTTATTAGTATGTGCACGGAAGAGGGTAAGCACATCCCATAGAGCAAGTGTGGATGAAGGCCAGAGAATAACTTGTGGGAATCGGTTCTGTCCTTCACTGTGGGTTCCAGAGATCAAACTCAGGTCTTTAGGCTTGCTCAGTAAGCACTTTACTCACTACCCCCCACCACCATTTTTTTTTGATACAAAGTCTCCCTGTAGCCACAGCAGGCCTGGCACTTGCTCTGTAGATGAAGTTGGCCTCAGTCTCACAGAGATTCACCTGCCTCTGCCTCCACAACACTGGGATTAAAAGCGTGTGCCACACCTGGCTGTCTCCCTCCCTTTTCTTAAACAGGATCTATATGTACCAGGTTGTCCTCAAACTTGCTATATAGCCGAGGACAACCTTGAACTTCTAACCTTGAGGATAACCTTAAGCCTCTTGTCTTTACCTCAGACTGCTGGGATTACAGGCATGTGCCACCATATCTAGTTTATGGGGTGCTAAGGATGGAACCTAAGGCTTTGTACATACTAGGCAAGCACTCAACCAACTGGGCCACATCCCACACCCTAGATTTCTCATTTTATTTGTGTTTTTAATAGAAATAGCTGGAGCTGAAATCCTGGTCCCAGAAGTGGGGGTGTTGAGGTTCTGCACCCACACAGGGTGTCTAGGCTGTGTGTGTTTGGGGAGTTACTGGATCTTGTTGCATGCATTGTCTGTGTGAAGTGGGCCATCTCGCCTCAGCATGTGGCTCAGCTGTGACGAACTTTCCTCCCCCACCTTGCCTCCTGCCTCTCCCCTACCTCCCTGTCCATCCCTCCCAACCTCTTCTCTTCTGCTCTATTCCCTAATGTTGGCTGGGGTTCCTGTCCTTGCCCCCTGTCCATACTCTGTGTCCAAGAAAACCAATCTGATCCAAGAGCTTTAAATCTCCATTCGTCACTGATGTCAGCTAAGCTTTATCCTGGCTTCTAGCAATTCCAGATGTGCCAACCACTTTTGGATCAAACCATGAACTTGACCTACCCTTCAAATCTAGAATATTCTTGGATTTCCTGTATCTGAACCTGAACTCTTGTTTTCCATGTTCAACCCACCCAGAACTGTTCCTGTTCCTCACATGCTCAGTGAATGCTCAGCCATGATGCATTCCTGTCCCTCATCCTTAAGCCGATTTCTCACGAGGCCTGGATCTACCTCCTTCCTAGGTTCCCTCCTCCAGCACCTGCCCGCAGAAGCTCTGCCATGCTCCTCACCAGGTGATAGCCTCCTATGCATCTCCCAACTTTGGATTCCACTCTCTAATATTCAGGAATCCACGATATTCTGAAGGAGTGAGTCAGGGTCTCATGTAACCCAGCTGGCCTTCAAGTTGCTTGTGTAGGTGAGAATAACCTTAAATGTCTGATCCTCCTGCTTCCACCTCCCAAGTGTTGGGATTATAGGCATACACCATCATGCAGTAGGGGGCTGGGTGAACTCCACTGTAGGGTCATGGACTTCAAATGTTCTGCATGGACAGTCCTTTGTGGTGCCACCACACGCTGGCCTAGCACCATCTTAGTGCTCCACTGAGCTGGCTTGCACCACAGAGGTGACCGTACCTCTCTAGGTGTGGTGGTGGTGGGGGATCAGAAAAAGATAGTATGTTTCCCATTGCTTGCCCTCTCAGCTAGCCATGCCCAGATCCCCTTAATCCACCCTGACTAATGGAGCTCAAACCAGCTCAGGTCCCCCCTTTGATGAGCTCACTAATCCCTGGAGGCCGGGGCTCACCACCTGTCTCCAAGATAGATGCTGTTGCTCTATCAGAAAGCATGTCCTGAGTTGGCAATGATGGGAAAGTATCTTTGAACAAAGCCCATACTTTGACCCAGCAGTGAGATGGGAAATTCACCTATGAATGACCTTGGAAACAGCTTGTTCTATCACCTATGCAAATGACCCAGATGGGAGCTACTAGGTAAACCGGCCTGCCCCTCCCTCTCTTCCTCCAGGGCCAGTGAGTGCTCTGGTGGTTTCACACCACTCTGGATGCAAATCTAGATGCCAATAAGGGTCAGATGAGTGGCCTTGGACATGTCAATCATTTTGAGGTCTCTATTTCCCTGTCTGTAGAATGAGGTGCTTTCGGCAGGGCTCCTGTATGTTTGGTGGTGTGAGGATCTGCTCTATGTGGTAACCCCTGTCCAGCCTTGCTCCTGTCCTCATCCACTCATCCTCTTCTGTTATCCTCTACTGGCCAGTTCTCCCCAATGGCTGCCAGGGGAAGTGCTGGAGGCCTTTAGGTATGTACATTCAAGAGGGCTAGTGGGGGGTGGTGAGATGGCTCAATGGGTAAAGGTGCTCCTTTCCAAGCCTGACCTGAGTTTGATCCCTGGGATCCACATCATGGAAGGAGAGAACCAACTCCTGCAAGTTGTCCTCTGAATTCTACACACATACACACATGAGCATGCACACATAAACATAAACACACACACAATTAATGAATAAATAATATAAATAACGGTGGAAAAGCCTTTTTTAAAAAAAACAGGGGGTTAGTGGCCAGGATGGAGCAAGTGTGTGTGTGTGTGTGTGTGTGTGTGTGTGTGTGTGTGTGAGTGTGTGTGTGTGAGAGAGAGAGAGAGAGAGAGAGAGAGAGAGAGAGAGAGAGAGAAAGGAGAGAAGGAGAGTCAGAGATGGGGTTGGGGAGGCAGGGAGACACAGAGAGTAGAACAAAAAGTTTCCAGAACCACAGCAAGATAGGTAGAAAGAGAAATCAAGAAACAGAGAAAAAGGTCAGAGAATTTCAGAGACTGTCTGCAACCCCTCTGTCAGGAGGAAATGTTCTAAAGACACCTGTGCTCCTCCCATGAACTATCAGACCACTGAAAGGATTGACCCCAAAGAATTAAAATTTCCCCAGGAATCTTGTGCTAGGAGAAAGAAAGGTTGAAGCCTGGTGCCAGCCAGAGAGGAAATTTGTCTCCTGGGAAGAGATTTTACACAGTTCTGACAGCTTGTGAGACCACCTTGCAGGAAAGCCTGGAGCTCAGACCATAGTGATGGATGCAGCCACATCTTGACCAGAGGGCTGAGCTGTGCCTATCTCCAAGCTCTATTTAAACTCGAATCTCATCTCTGGCCCCAGAAGATGGGCTTAGGGGTCACTGGACCTCTCTGTTTGCGCCTCTTCCCAATGTGGCCACATTGGATAAGTCTCTTTTCTCTACTTTCCACTATTATCTCTTTAATTGGCATGTTGGGTGCCGTGGAGGAGTGTTGTTTGTTGGTATTGCATAATCTAAAGATTGTGAAGAAACTGACCCAGGAATAGGGAGAGTGTGGAGAGGTGGAGAGCGAGCTTCCTCCACCCCTGAGCTCTGGAGGGGGCGTCTCTGCCCTCACCCGCATCCCTCCCCAGAATCCTTAAATCCTCTCTCACTTGGGGCCCTCTGTGTGCATCTGTCACAGACTTGTCCTAGAGCCAGAGGCTGGCGTGCAGGTGAGCTTGGCCCTGGAGGAAGCTTAGAGTACATTGGGGTTGGAAGAGGAACCCAAAGCTGTGGTGGGTAGAGGCAGGACTGGAGGGATGGAGAGGGTGATCCAGCAGGGCAGGGGGACTCTGGTGACTCGGTTCAGAGAGGATGGGAACAGCCAGGTGGAAACTTGGGACAACTAGCCCAATTGCCAACTTTTCAGTCACCAACATTCCCTGGGTTCTACCCAGGATCTCAGAGACCCGCTCCCTTTCCGTGGTCCCGGGGTGGGGTCTGCATCCCTTGGCTTCCTGCAGCCCAGGAGCGGATGGCGCGGCTCTTCGCGCTGCTGCTTCTGGCGGCTTGGTGTCTGTCCCAGGTGGGCGTGATGTGCGGCGCCGGTTCGGTGCGCGTGGCGGGCAGCTTGACGCTGGGTGGCCTGTTCCCGGTGCACGCGCGGGGCGCGGCGGGCAGGGCATGCGGGGCGCTGAAGAAGGAGCAGGGCGTGCACCGGCTGGAGGCGATGCTCTACGCCCTGGACCGCATCAACGCCGACCCGGAGCTGCTGCCTGGCGTGCGTCTGGGCGCGCGGCTGCTGGACACCTGCTCGCGGGACACCTACGCGCTGGAGCAGGCGCTGGGCTTCGTGCAGGCACTCATCCGAGGCCGCGGCGACGGCGACGAGGCCAGTGTGAGCTGCCCCGGGGGTGTCCCTCCGCTGCGCGCCGCGCCCCCCGAGAGCGTGGTGGCCGTAGTGGGCGCTTCGGCCAGCTCCGTGTCCATCATGGTCGCCAACGTCCTGCGCCTGTTTGCGGTGAGGGCTGCTATCTGTCGCCGGTCCTGCCCGCCAGATGGCTGATGCCTCTTTTCTTCTACTTCCTTATGGAAGAATTTCTGCTTTGATTCCCCCAGTTCGTCCAGATTAAAAAGTTGCTGTCCATTGGGGCAGACCAACTTCCCAGCCCCACTTTTCTGCTCTGAGGTCTGCCTGACTTGCTCAGGCATCTCTGTGTGAAGGTTGTCCCCTCCCCCAGCAGCCTGTGTCTTGAGCCAGGTTGGCCAAGGGCAGCCTGAATTTCAGCTCCCACTTGCCCACTCATTCTGGATCTGCGGATACCCTGCACAACCGTGCAAGGTACTCCTGCGTGATGAACTTCAGTTTTCCCTGGAACTAGACCCATCCTCCAGAAGTGGCAGTTGGGATGCTGCCCTGAGCTAACCCTGAGATGGAGCGTCCTGAAAGGTCTTTTGTGCCTTTGCTCTTTACCAGCCTCATTGAAATTCAGTTTCAAGATGCCAGCCTTTAACTGGCTCAGGGGAGGGGGCTCTGGAAGTAGACTTGAGCTCCCTCCTCTGGATACAGTGCTTACCTGCAAAGCCCTGAATGGTCATCTTTAGCGAGGATCAGGGGCCCTGTGCTCCTTGCAGTCTGAGAGGGGTCCAAATTGGGGGGCACAGGACCCAGGGACTAGGAGGCCTCTAGCATTAGAGTTTGGGGGGGTTCCTTATAGTACACATCCACTGGGGATCGTGGATACAGTTTACTGCTGCTGGAGGGGAGTGTTAATTCACAGGCAGCCAGTTCTCTGCACCCCTTTCTCTGGTTTTGGCTTGCTTGCTTCTTGTTTGTCTCTGACCCTCACCAGTCAAGCCTCCCCCTTCCTCCCTCTTTTCTTCCTTTCTACCCCCTCTCACCCACTGCCCTTTCCCATACTGTCTCCCTTCAGACCACCCTAGAACATCCTCAGCTCCTCCTCCAATGCTCTGCTTGCCGCTCCCTTTCTCTCAGGATGCCATCTTCTCGAATGTGGCTCTTGCCCCCGCCCAGTTAGCCCCCTTTTCCTGTTTTCTCAGCTGCGCTCTGTGCCCCCACATCCTTTCCCACTCTCCCAGGTCTCCCATTCCTCCTATATGGCTCAGCTCCATAATCTCTGCCATTATTCCTTCTAATGCTCAGAGATCAAACCCAGTTTCAAACAGGCCTCTCCACTAGGCTGCCCAGCCTGATAACACCCTCCTCTCCAACTCTCTGGTCTGCTCTGTTCCTAAAACAGGGGCTGTCACAGGCAAGACTGCCCTTTTATGGGAAGCAGAAAGACATGCTTTTCTTTGAGAAACAGGGTCAACAGGACACCCTTCCCCCATGGCCATGCCACTTCCCCTGAGCTCCAGTGTTGTTTGGTATGCAGCCTGTACAACTAACTATAAGTGACAATCCTGCTGTAAACTCTGGACCCTGGAACCTTCCAGACATCATAAGGCCCACTCATAGACTGCCCACTGGCTCCATACTCCTGGTCCATGTGTGTGGCCACGCCAGTCAGTCTCCAACTTTCTCTCCCAAACTTTCTATGTCTCATCTGTATCACAACTCTCTACTGTCCCCCAGCTCTGTCCCCCAATTGTCTGTGCCCCATCCTTGTCCTCAGTTCCTATTTCCACCTGACTTGGGGACCTCCAGCCACAGCCCAGCTGTCTGTCCTTCCTACTTCAGATACCCCAGATCAGCTATGCCTCCACAGCTCCAGAGCTCAGCGACTCCACGCGCTACAACTTCTTTTCCCGAGTGGTGCCCCCAGATTCCTACCAGGCCCAGGCCATGGTGGACATCGTTCGGACATTGGGGTGGAACTACGTGTCCACACTGGCCTCCGAGGGCAACTATGGCGAGAGCGGGGTTGAAGCTTTTGTGCAGATATCCAGAGAGGCTGGTGAGCTGAGGGGCAGAGCTGGGTCCCAAGCAACAGTCTACCAACAGAGGGGTGAACCAGGGATCATGGGATAGGGCAGAGGCAGGGACCCCTGTAGCTATCCCTGATGGCACTCCAGGAAGGCAGGGGCCCCTTTGGAGGATTCAAGCCCTCTTATAATCAGGTAGAGGCTGAGAAAGATCTCAGCCTTGCAGACCCCTGTCAGGCCCTAGGCAGTTATTGCAGTGGTGGCCAGGTGGGTACAGGGAAGGGTAAGTGGGACAAGAGCTGACTGTGGCATCCCTGACACCCAGGAGGAGTCTGTATTGCCCAGTCCATCAAGATCCCCAGAGAGCCAAAGCCTGGAGAATTCCACAAAGTGATCCGCAGGCTCATGGAGACGCCCAGTGCCCGGGGCATCGTCATCTTTGCCAATGAGGATGACATCAGGTAGGACAGATGGCACACTCCATCACACTCCATCTTGGGCTCACTCTGAGAATCCTTACCCTTCCTCACCCTCAGTCATGAGTGTCTCCCTTCGTACCCCCATACTCTTCCTGGTGTCATCTAGAGTCTGGTGCCCCAAGGTTGAATCAGGCATGACTAGGTGACAATGCTCCAAGCCGGGCCCAGGAAACACAAGAATCATGTCTGTTTTTATGGCTCACTTTGGGAGAGAGCCCTTTAGATAGACTTAAGAACAGGAAATGTACCACGAGGAAGAGTCTCAGGGGCAGTCTGGAGGATGTGGACAGTAGGCTGCTGACCTATACCTGAGTGGTCCAGAGCCTGGAAAATTGGCCAGAGACATTTGGGAATGGGGTGGTTCCTGCGTGCCCTTGATTTTCCACAAGGGAACTCTACATATTAGCTCATTTTCTTTTACTGTAACAAAATACCCAAGCCTGGGTAACTTGTGAGGAAAAGATGTCTATTTAGCATACAGCTTGGGAGGCTGGAAATCCAGCAGCATTTCAGGAGCTGTGCTGAGGGCCCATGTTGCACTACATTTGACAAATGTCATCACTGAGGGAGAGAGTAGGAGAGGGAGACATTGCATAATGGGACAGGAAGCAGGATGGGGGGGGGCTGGACCCACTCTGTTATACCTACTTATTCTCACAAAACTATTTTATCTCTCCAGAGGGTGAGGGCACTGCCCTCAGTGACCCAATAAACTTGCATTAGGCCTCATCTCTTAAAGGCCCTACCACCTCCCAGCATCTCCACACTGAGGTCCAAGTTTCCCTCAGATCAATGTTAGAGACACTCAATCCATCCAAACCATAGTGCCATCTGAAGCCTAGTGTGGACTAGGATAGAGTGGATAGAGAGCTCGGGAGGTGGCTCTGCTGGTAGAGTGCTTGTCACAGAAGCATGAGGACCTGAGATCCATCCCCAGAAGCCATGTAAAAAGCTGGGCATGGTGGTATGCTGCTTGTAATCCCAGCACTTAGGAGGCAGAGGCAGAAGGATCCCTGGGGTTCCTTGGCAGCCAGTCCAGTCAGCAGTCAAATCAGCATGCTTGAGGGCAATGAAGAGACCCTGTCTCAAAAAAACAAGGTGGATGGTGCCTGAAGGGCAATACGTGACATTGATCTCTGGCCAAGACCAAACTGGAGAAGGATCCTAGGCCTTCACTCACCCCTGGCCCTGTTCCTACCAGGAGGGTCCTGGAGGCAACACATCAGGCCAACTTGACTGGTCACTTCCTGTGGGTTGGCTCAGACAGCTGGGGATCCAAGATTTCACCCATCTTGAGCCTAGAGGAGGTGGCTGTGGGGGCCATCACCATCTTGCCCAAAAGGGCTTCCATCAATGGTAAGTTCAGGGGTGCGGTGTCCCTCCCCAGCATCCCTTCTTGGGGATGCTTATTTTGCATGTCTGTATGAGGAGTGCCACAGTCCAGCTCCTGTTTAGGATCCCAGATGCCGTGACTCTGACATTCTGTGACTACATTTCTGCAAACAGAATGAGACACATGAAGAAAAGGACTCTCCCTCCACCCAGGGCACGGGGAAAAGCATCCTTGGTGTTTTGTGTTTTTAAATTTCATGCATATCAATTTGTTTTGACCCAAAGTACTCTAAATTGGAAGACTGGAGGGAGAGAGAGCAAGGATGTGGAACATGTGTCCTGTTGATCAAAGTGTTGAGGTGTGCCTTGTGTGTCCCACACACACACATACACACCTGTGAGCATCTGGAAGAATCCAGCAGCAAGGGTTCACCTTACCATAGGTGTTCCCATTTTCCTGCAGATTGACCTTTGACGACATGCGTTAGGGCTAGTTCATGATACCCAGGACCCAGCAGAGAATGAGCTCTGCCTCCCGTGGATTCTTAGCTCTTCTGGGGTGTACATTTTCACACCCTTTCTTTCAGCCAGAACACATTGGTTGCCTGTGACAGACTGAACTGAGAGCAGTTTTAGCAATCAAGGCATTTCACCACAAGAGATCTGAACGTATATGATTTCAGGCATCCCAACAGTGAGCCAATGATGTTCTCAAAGTCTGGGACTCTGCTTACCCTTCTTCTCTGCCTTGCATCTTTGTGCCTGTGGTCTCATACTCACAAGATGGATGCTGAAGCTCTAGCTGTTACATAGTCATAACAGCATCCAAAACAGGACAGAGAAGGCAAAGATAAAACTCCATAATGATGAAAATTCTACCTTGGAGTCCCCATGTCTTTGAATTACAATCTAGAACTTGGTTACGGGGTCACTCCTGGATGTAAAGTGAACCAGTGACCCAGGGACACCAGAGAGGCAGCTCTGGTTCAGGTGCTCACCAACCCCCTCCTCTCAGGATTTGACCAGTACTTCACAACTCGTTCCCTGGAGAATAACCGCAGAAACATCTGGTTTGCTGAGTTCTGGGAAGAGAATTTTAACTGCAAACTGACCGGCTCAGGTAGCCAGTCAGATGATTCAACTCGCAAATGCACGGGTGAGTGCTGCCTGGAGTGGGGAGGGTGACATGGGAGAGTGTGGGGAGGCCAGGTCTGGCCTCTGGGAGCCAGGCATACTTCCTCTGGGCCTCCTAGGACAGGTGAGGAACGCATCGGCCAGGATTCCACCTATGAGCAGGAGGGAAAGGTGCAGTTTGTGATAGACGCTGTGTATGCCATCGCCCATGCCCTGCACAGCATGCACCGGGCTCTCTGCCCTGGCCACACGGGCCTGTGCTCAGCCATGGAGCCTACCGACGGGCACACGCTGCTGCAGTACATTCGAGCTGTCCGCTTCAATGGTGAGTGCCTGGCCTCATCAGGGTAAGTCAGCTTCCCTGGATTGCTCTGCAGGACCTGGGAGCAACTCAGGGTGGAAAGGGATACAGGATGGAAGAGGGGGCATTGAAGCTGATCACTGGAGAGTAAGCCAAATGCTGTCCTTTGCTTTTTAACCCTCCCCACACTTTAGCATCTTCTGAGCCAATTTGCAAAATTCGATGTTTGGGAACTGGAGGTTGACACATTCTACCTGAACCCCAGGGAGTCACATGTAGGCCCCCCCCACTGCACACAGCTTAGAGATTCTAAGACCCCAAGTGTGCCCAGATGGCCCCTGCTATGGATACATTGTGGACTCTGAGTCACAGGCTTCAGAATGCTGCTCCAGCCAGGCTCTAAGCTGCTAGAGAAAAGCATGGGGTTGATGTTGTCCCCTGAACCAGCAGAGGGCAGACAAGGCTGGGGCTCCAAGGACTGAACAAAAGGGAAAGGATTCCCCACAGTGGAGGTGACTTGGGGAATTGGGCTGTTCAACTACTGTTCTGCATAAAATTAGGTATACTCCACCAGATATTTACTGACACTTGCTAGTTTTTGTTTTTGTGAAAGGTATGTATATAGACATGTGCGTGTGCAGGGACCCACAGGTCTACAGAGGCCAGAGGAGGATTTTGGGTTCATTACTCTATCATGTATTCCTTTGAGACTGGGTTTCTTACTAAGCCTGGATCTTACTGAACTGGTTGCTTGGCAAGTCCCTGTGATCCTCCTGTCTCTGCCACTGGGACCAGGTGCTGGGATCTGAATTCGGGTCCTCATGCTTGAACAACAAGGGCTTTACCCACTAAGCCATCTCTCCAGCTCTGAGGGGCTGTTTTGTTCCCTGCCCCTTCATGGGTGTGAGGTGTCATCTCTTTGAAATTGTGTTCCTTGCCAAGGAGTGATGCGGAACATCTTTCCATGAGCTTGTCCATAGATCTCTTCCTTTATCTTGGCTGGTTCTCCCGGCTTCCCTAGGAGGATGGCTTTTGGGTCTGAAGAAGCAGCTAGGATTGATGGGCCTCTCCCTGCAGGCAGCGCAGGAACCCCAGTGATGTTCAATGAGAACGGAGATGCCCCGGGGCGTTATGACATCTTCCAGTACCAGGAGACTAATGGCAGTGCCAGCAGTGGCGGGTACCAGGCAGTGGGCCAGTGGGCAGAGGCCCTAAGACTGGATGTAAGTGGAGCAGTTCAAGCTCCAGGCGGAAGTGAGGGCCCTGAATTCCTGGTGGCAGAGGTCTGCAGCCTATGATCTCTCTCTCCCAGATGGAAGCCTTGCAGTGGTCAGGTGACTCCCACGAGGTGCCCCCTTCCCAATGCAGTCTCCCCTGTGGGCCAGGAGAGCGGAAAAAGATGGTGAAGGGCGTCCCCTGCTGTTGGCACTGCGAGGCCTGTGACGGATACCGCTTCCAGGTGGATGAGTTCGAATGCGACGCCTGTCCCGAGCACATGAGGCCCACGCTCAACCACACAGGCTGCCGCCCCACGCCCGTGGTGCGCCTCACTTGGTCCTCCCCCTGGGCAGCTCTGCCCCTCCTTATGGCCGTGCTGGGCATCATGGCCACCATCACCGTTGTGGCCACCTTCATGCACCACAATGACACCCCTATCGTCCGCGCCTCTGGCCGGGAGCTCAGCTATGTGCTGCTCACGGGCATCTTCCTGATCTACGCCATCACCTTCCTCATGGTGGCTGAGCCGAGTGCAGCTGTCTGTGCGGCCCGCAGACTCTTCCTAGGACTGGGCACCACGCTCAGCTACTCTGCCCTGCTCACCAAGACCAACCGCATCTACCGCATCTTTGAGCAGGGGAAATGCTCGGTTACACCGCCGCCCTTCATCAGCCCCACGTCGCAGCTGGTCATTACCTTCGGCCTTACCTCCCTGCAGGTGGGTCCCCAGACAGGAACCCTGGCTTCCGCCCCAGGGCTGCATAAACACAGCCTAGTGAAATGCCCATAGCACTTGGGAGGTGGAGGCAGGAGGATGAGAATTTCGAAGTTATCCTCAGCTACATAGCAAGGCCAGCCTGGGGCAACATGAGACATTGTCTTTAAAAAAAAAAAAAAAGCTTCAGAAAAGTGGGATTTCTGGAGTCAGTAATTTCCATTTGGAGTCCTGTGTTTAAAAATCAGCAAGATAGGGTTGGGCCTCAGGGCACCCACTTTTAGCCCCAGCAGTCAGGAGGCTGAGGCAAGCGGACAACTTCAGGCCAGCTGGGTCCACATAGCAAGTTCCAGGTCAGCCAGGGCTATACAGTGAGACTGTTTGTTTGTTTGTTTGTTTTTAAATCAGCAGGCTATAGTGTTCTGTTGTCTCTAGGATTGAGAACAACTCACTTGGGAACACATATGTCCACTGCCAAGTCCCTAGAGGAAGCTGGGTCATTGGGTGTGAAGGCTGAACATCTGACTATTTTACCCCCACAGCAGTGTAGCCATCTTTGTAAAATAAGCTTTTACACAGTTTGACTCACATATGAAAACAGGGCAAGGATGTATGTGACTGATTTTCCCACAAGGGAGTCACCACTGCCCAGGTCACTGGGGTGATGTGAATGGGAAGCCCAGAGCCCACCGTTACTGTGGAGTGTAGCACGTATTGCAATAGGTGGCTAGCATCTATCTCATGATGTAAAGAGAGTTCAAAATGGGGTTTAAGTTGCCATGGTCCTCCCTAAGATAATCCTACTATAGTGCTGGACAGAACTCCCATCCACAGGATGTTTTCAGTAGCGGGAACGAGGCTTGGGGAGGGTGCCTGGTGTGGAAGTGTACATCCAGCCAGGCTCTCTGGGTACTGACATTACCTGGCCCAGTGTTGACATGGCCCACTCTCCTGGGCAGATGAGTGGTTCTCTCTACCCAGCTTTGTAAACCCCACATTCATTCCTACCCATGGCTTTGACTTATGCAGTGATTTCGCAGTGCTTTTAAGGTGTTTGAGTCTTCCTCCAGATATTATGCCCAGAGCATCCTAAGAAGATGCCAGGAGACTCTCCTTACCCACTGGATGGAGATGCTTAGACAACAGCATTCCTAAAACCCCTGGGCTCAACTGCCTAGCCTATGAATGTGGACTCCCCACACTTTCAGTTTTTCCAGATATTTCTACCAAGCCGATAGATGTGTGGTGGTACCGCCCTGCTCCTTTAATTAGCCTTTGCAGAACTACTGGAGCACAAGGCCTTTGGAATCTCCTCCTCTGCATTATGTCTCTATCCTTTGCTCAATTTCTATCATTTTGTAGGAGTTTATTACAGGTTCAGCCACATGGACTGGAATCCATGCAGGTACATTAGAGTTGCTGGTCCTCCTGTGGCCATAAGTCTTGGGCTCTAGTTTCTACTAAGTGACTATTCGCCCCCAGCCAGAGAGCCTTGCTCTAAGGAGCCTCCATGGTGCCTTCCTGGACAGGGAGTGGGTTTTGTTTAACCAATCCCTTGTTGGTGGAGCTGCTGCCATTAGGTAGAAAATGTTCCTTCTGAGTGCATAAATTATTACAAAGGGGCCCTTCCTTTAGAGGGCATGGCACTGCAGATCTTGCTAGACTTCAGCCCTACCTACCCTTTAACCAGGCACTCTTGCACAGTGAACCCGCACTGCCATATGGGGCATCCTTCTAGCTCTCACTTTTATGCAGACATCTTGATACCTACTCCTCAGTTTCCTTTGGCTCAAGGTCATGTCTTTTTGCCATTAGGAAGGAACTGAAATGCCAGTTAGGCATTTTCTCAGTTAGGGCTTGTTATGGTTGACACCCTCCAGGGCACCTGCCTCACATCTTAACAACTGTCAGTGTATCTCTGGCCTATGATGTACCCATATTTTGAGCTTCACTGCACATCCACGCATGATCTAGTGGCATTCTGTTCAATAGTTCACTGGGTTTGAAGACAGGAGGGGGATCCCCCAGAACTAGGCTTGCTGTATCCACAGCTATGAGTAGGCTGCTGCTCTCATGCAAATGGAGTGGCAACGTTGTGATGATAGGACATCCCTTTGGGGACTGGCCTTCATCAGTGGCATCTGTACTAGCTGTTTCCCCAAGATGGCATCCTGTCTTCATAACAGATTATGAGGGTTTCCACTCTGGAGATGGAGCAACTGAGACTGAGGAGGTTCCAGAACCTCCTCTTGCATTTGCTAGACATTGAAGATACTCAGGTACACGGCATCAGTGTTTACAGAGTGGGCTCATCAGGTTACCCCTTACCCAATCAGCCCCAGTGTGGTCCATGTGCATCTGGAGCTGGCTTCTCTACCTGCCCCATCACAGGTAGGAATGATCCCTCCTGGGTGGTACTTCTTCACCGTGACTCTTTTAAGGTTGAGAGCCCTACTCAGACAGTCAAGAGCATTGCAGGGAGCCCAACCTGCTAGAATCCTAGATCAGGGACTGGAACAAGCTTGTCACTGGAAGACAGTGTGTTCTTGACATGATGTTGGTTCTACAGGTAGTGGGAGTGATAGTGTGGCTGGGGGCCCAGCTTCCACACAGCGTGATTGACTATGAGGAGCAGCGGACAGTGGACCCTGAACAGGCCAGGGGGGTGCTCAAGTGTGACATGTCAGATCTGTCTCTCATTGGCTGCCTGGGCTACAGCCTCCTGCTCATGGTCACGTGTACGGTATATGCCATCAAGGCCCGCGGTGTGCCCGAGACTTTCAATGAGGCCAAGCCCATTGGCTTCACCATGTACACCACATGTATCATCTGGCTGGCTTTCATTCCTATCTTCTTTGGCACTGCCCAGTCGGCTGAGAAGGTAACCATGGTCCTTGAGCCAGCTTTGCTGCCTTGTTTCCTACCCCTCCATTGAAGGGCTCACTTGTCCAGGAGCTGGGTCACACATTCCAATGTCTCATCATTTGAATGACTTTGGGTGGGCAGACCCTTTCATGTGCTTCAGTACTTGTCACTTGTCTCTCTGATATCCGTGTCTGTCCATTCACCCTTCCTCTTCCTCTGTCCACTCACCGTCCCTCTCTTCCTCTGTCCACTCACTCATTCTCCTAGCATTCTTCCTAACTTCTCATCCTCCACACTTTCTTTTTATTCACTTTCTTCCTATACTTTATGCCACTTAACTCATTAATCTAATGGTCCAGCTACTTGACCATTTTTCTGTCCATTTATTCATGAATATGGGACATTTGTTTGTTCACCTGTGTCATCTTTTGTTGGTCCATTTGACCCTTTATGAAAGCCTTGTTCATTCATTCATTTCTATATTTGAAAGCATGCCAAGTCATCCATTCACCCACCACCCACCCATCCATCCATTCATCCACCTATCCATCCACCCATCCATCCACCCATCCATCCATCCATTTATCCACCTATCCATCCGCCCATCCACCCACCCATCTATCCATCCATTAACTCTTATTCTCTGGTCCTTTTGGCACAGGGCTATTTTCCCAAGTGCCACTCTTTCCCTTTAAAAAATTTTTAAAAATTTAAAAATTATTTTTGTTTTTGTGTATGTTTGCCTGCTTGCTTTACATGCATACAGGTGCCTGCAGAGGCCAGAAGAGGGTATCCAATCTCCTGGAACTGGTGATTGTGACAGTGTGGGTGCTGGGAACTGAACCTGAGTCCTCTGCAAAAGCTGCAAGTACTCTTAACCTCTGAACCATCTCTACAGTCCCTCTTTTTGTTTTAAAGGAATTTTTTTTTTTTTTTTTTTTTTGTTTGGTCTTTTTGAGACAGGGTCTCCCTGTGGCCCCAGCTGTTCTGGAACTCACTATGTAAACCAGTCTGGCCTTGAACTCATGAGATCCACGTGCCTCTGACTCCTGAGTACTGGGGTTAAAGGTGCTGAGAGAGACAGAGAGAGAGAGAGACAGAGAGAGAGAGAGGGAGAGACACAGAGAGACAGAGACACAGAGAGACAGAGACAGAGACAGAGAGAACTCATACACATGGAGAGACACAGACAGACAGAGACACAGAGAGACAGAGACAGAGACAGAGAGAACTCATACACATGTGCCACGCTGTGAACTGTGGAGATCAGAGGACAACTTGGGGGAATCAGTTCTCTTTTTCTACCATTTGAGTTCTGGGAATCCATCTTGGGTAGTCAGGCTTGGTGGCAAGTGCCTTTACCCACTGAGCCCTCTGGCTGACTCTTCCCTCTAATAACCCACTCGGTCTGTCCCTCCACCCTCCTTCCTGTCCACACTGTGACTGCCACCTTTCGGCCTCCTGTGTGTCTCCGGCTGTGACCCTTCCCTTTGTTCTTAGTCACCTGACTCAAGTGACTGTATGGGGGGCGGGGGGATGTGAGAGAACAGAGCTGAGTCCTCCTGGTCCTCCTCCACGCCTTAGATCTACATCCAAACCACCACACTGACGGTGTCCCTGAGCCTGAGTGCTTCAGTGTCCCTCGGTATGCTCTACATGCCCAAAACCTACGTCATCTTGTTCCACCCGGAGCGGAACGTGCAGAAGCGGAAGCGGAGCCTCAAAACAACGTCCACGATGGCGCCGCCGCCCAAGAGCCAGAACCTGGAGGACCCCAAGTAGCAAGCGGCATTCCCACGGTCCTCCGGTCCTTTCTTTTCTTCCCCGGGCTTCACAGAGGAAGCTGTAAAGCGTCCTAGCCCAGTGACCAATCAGAGGCAGACTCTGACGACCATGCCCAGCTCGGAAGAGCTGGACTGCCATCCACCATGGACTTCCTCTTTTCTATGCGTGCCAGTCTCATCCTTCCACACCGCAGATCAGACATCCTACCAGGGTAGGAAACAACCGCTGCCAGGATTCTACCCGGTGAGAGGGATTAAACCGACTCCCGCTGGGCTGAGGTTCAAACACCATGAAGCCTGGGCCTGGCGGGGTGGGGTGAGATTTCTTTTGATCCACCACCATAACCTGGAGCCTGAGCTCGGTGTCAGAATGTGGAGAACCCAGCAAGAAATCTAGGGTTAGAGCTGAGCGGTGGGGTACAGTCTCCACAAGAGAAAACCTGGTGTTGGGGGAATTTGTATTCTGGACTACAGCTCAGGTAAACATTCTTCTGGCACAGAGAGAGTTGAGAGCCCTGGGGACAGAGGCTGAGCCTGAAGCCAAGAGGGGTGGGCAGGACCAGGGCAGGATTCCCTGAGGTCCCTTTCAACAGGCTCTTTTCCTTGGGGTCCTTCCCCCAGGGTGCAGGCTAATGTCAAGCATCATAGGGCTACTTCCCACTACTGTACATATTCCTTTAAATTACCCCCAACCTTACAAAATTCCGACACACTAGGGTGTTCTTATAAGAATTAAGGAACAGGGTGGCACTTGCTGCCCCTCTGATGGCTCAGCTGGGTTGTGCTCTGATAGTCCAGGACCAGACCTGTGTCTGGGTGAGGATCAATTCCAAGGTCATAACTTAGGATGTTTATAAAGGCTTTTCTCCCCTAATATGTCCTGGGAAGACCCCTCTGAAAAGTGGGTATGAGGCATGGGGAGTAAGGTTGGAATATGAGGTATACATTTTTTTTTTTTACAAGAAGCTGGGATTTAGTTAGATTTTGTTTCCCTGTTATATAAATGTATTTAGTTAGCTGTTTTTATTTATTGTCAGTTCTCCAGTATTTAATGTGTAGAATTAATTTTTAAAGTGAGCCACACTTCAAACAATGGACACAATGGACAGATGCACAGTGAGTTTCGACCTTGAGATGAGAAGTTTCAGCATCTCTTCTTCATCAACAAGCTTCCCTTTAACGTTTCTGCTGGACAGCATCTCCTTCTCACTTTGTGTATTCCTTGGTCTCTCCACAACCTGAAGCATGCAGTTTCATTTATTGAAAAATGCTTTCTGAAGCTCAGAACTAAGGCTTCTGTGCTGTGTGGGTCCTCAGAAGTGTGGTGTAGCAGGAGGCCTCCAAAGATGGCACGGACCCAGAGCCCTGGGATTCAGTGAGAACTCACTTCACTTCTTGGTCCGCAAATAGCCCGCCAAAAGGAGCCCACCCCTCCATACCCTGCTGGAGCCCAGTGACTGCTGACAGACTGCGTGGCGCGGACCAATCAGAAAATGATACGCTGACTAAAGGGGCTTAGGGGTGGAGAAAAGGGAAATATAAGGCCTGCCCCTCCTGCATTAAATGAGCCTGCAGCACCTCACCTAGTGCTTGCTTCTACCCAACTCCCTGGGTCTGTGTGTCGTGACTCCGCACCTCTTGCCCCCCCTAATCAGCAGGGGACCTGATCCAGGTTAGGGTCTTCACAGCTGGCCTGAGGAGAACCCGCAACAGTGTGGTATGTGTTCGAGTTTTCCTCCTGTAAGATCTCTTCCAGTCAGTGAGCTCTGATCTATGAATCGAAGAGTTTTGTGCTGTTTTCTTCATGCTTCTCCCAGTGTTGGTTCTCATGTATGCAGTGATTTTTGTCCTCTAGTTGAAAACTTTTCCATTTTTTTGTGTCTCTAGTTTTCTTTAGTCTATCACTTAGAGTGATTTGTAGTGAAAGTGTTTCCGTATTATATTAGTTACTTTTCTGTTGCTGTGATAAAATAGCATGACCAAGAATAACTTAAAGAAAGAACAGTTTATCTTGACTTATGGCTCCAGGTGAGACATTTGTGATGGCAAGTGGCTAGAGCAGGAAGCTAGCTGATCACATTTCGTCACACAGGAAACTGAGAGGGTAAACTGGAAGGGGTTGAAACTATAAACTCTCAGAGCCCACCCCCAGTGAAGCACATTCCTCAGCAAGGCTGTCCCTCCTAAAAGTTCTATTACCTCCCCAGACAGCACGACCAATTTTGGACCAAGTGTTCAAATACAGGAGCCTATGGAGGACTTTCTCATTCAAACCACCACATTCCTACCCTGTCCCCATATGGCCATATCATAATGCAAAATACATTTTGTCCAACTTTAAAAGTCCCCGTATCCTTTAACAGTCTCAACAATGTTCAAAAGTCCAAAGCCTCTTCTGAGTCTTAAGGCAATCTCTTAACTGTGACCTCCTGTAACACAATATACAGGAGATATTGCAACATAGACTGATACAGAAGACACATTCCCATTCCAAAAGGGAGGAATGAGGGCATTGTGGGGAAATACTAGACCCAGCAGAGCAAACACCAAATCCTGTAGCTCCATATCTGATGGCTGGGTCTTTAGTTTCAAAAGGATTAGATGGCTCCACCCCTTGCTGCCAGCAACACACACTCTCTTGGATTAGTTCCATTCTCTCTAAGCAGCTCTCCTCAGCAGATATCTTACTGTTCTGGCACCTCCACCATCTTGGAGTTTCCAGCACAACCCAGGCTTCACTTACAGCCTCACACAGCGGCTTCCCAGGCCTCTTGCCCTCTCCCAGCCTTCTTCTAGCAACTCCAGCACCTCCTTGTCTGCCCGCAGCAGCTCTCCAAAACCTTGGAGGAAGAATCCACAACCCCCTCACTCTTGGCTCTTTCATGCCTCCAAAGCCAACACCAAGTTCGACTGCCAGCTTGGGATGGACCTTCGCCTGCTAGGACCAAATTAGCATCAGCTTTTGTCAGCAGAAACTCCCTCAGCTCTCTTTCACAAAGGTCTTGCCCTCAAGGCCCTTTTCTCATTGTTCCAGTACAGAGTCTTTTGAGGCCTGTTCTTAACAATTACAGCCTCTCCTTCAGTACACACTTGGCTGTAACATTAAACTTCCTCGTGTTCTTTTCCTCTCCAAGCTGTGCATTTTGTATTTCTTTCCATCCTACTTGCCCTTTTTCATTGTAAACCTGCCTAAAGAGTAATAAGTAATCACTATGCCACACAGTCAACAACACTATGCAGTCTCAAAAGTTCCTCCATCAAAGAAATGGAAGGAACTGGTTCTGATACAGTGAAGGAATGCCACAGCCACAGGCTGAGGTTGCCAGCCAGAGTGGAAGCAAGCCGGCAAAAAGCAGAATTCCCTTCTGCATGTCCTTTTATCTGGGCTGCCACCAGAAGGTGCCGCCCACATCGAGGGTGGATCTTCTCACTTCAAATCATCTGATGGAGAAAATCCCTCCCAGGAGCACCTGCTGGTTTGCATTTAGTTGATTTCAGATCCAGTCAAGTGGACAGCAAAGATCAACCATCACACACACTGAGGGTGCTTCAAAAATGCCTCATCAGTTAAGGATACTGATGTAGAGTCCTGGTTTCCTGCCAAAGCCCCCACTTCCCTGTTCATTCCTCCTTCTCTGTCTGGTGGGAATTCCTCGATACACAGTGAGTTCGACCTTCCTCCTGTGACGTTCTCATAAGCAGTCAATTGCTGTGACTGATTTTGTGTAGAGCATCTTACCTCCTCTGGTATTGGGGCGTCTCACAGTTACTACATTCATGTGGTTTTTCTCCTTTCTGAATTCTCCAGTGTCTACAAATGCGTGGCTTATGCAAAAAGTTTTTCATCAGTCGCATATGTATGAGATCCCTCCTTTGGACCGCTGTTGTTCATTGCGGGGCTGGGACGGGCAACTCCCCAAGGTCTCCTCCTTGGTTTTGCCTGTGTAGCTTTGAATTACCTGATGTCCATTCAATCTCACTGAACCCCTGAATAAAATTTTATGGTGTTTTTTTCAAACTTGTGCACTTTATAAAACACTCTGCTAATATGGTCTCTCTCCCGTGCGTGGAGTAAGAGCCTGTTATGCCTGAAGGCTTCCTCACATTCCTTGCCCTTGAGTTACTCCTCCTGATACACATTCCCCAGGGTCCAGCAAAAGTGGAGATCTGGATTGGAGGCTTAGTCCATATTTATTATGATTACAGTTTTTCTATCCAGTGTGAGTTCCCCAAAACAGAGCAAGGTTGCATCATGATATAAGCTTTACCCATCTGTTCATAACCTCTTCACTTCTGGGAAGTGCTGAGACTTGTATAGGAGAGCTTTTTTATATTATTGATATAATTTATCAACAGGTAAATTTTTGTTGCACTTATTACAACTGTCACATCTATGACATGTTTGTACCTTGGAAGCTTATCCCTAATAATTCATTAAAGACATTGCCTTTCGTGTCATTCCGTGAAGTCTATTGTAATAACTGTAATTTTCTCCAGAAGGTTATCAGTTTAGTTCTTTAGTTATCAGTTTGCAGTTTCTTCTAAAATGCAATAAAATGTTCTATTGCAAGTAAATCTTTCTGCCATCATCCTACAGAATGAAACAGCTTCAGGAACACTCTTTATTGCCAGGCCCAACAGCTCATACCTATAATTTCAGCACTTTGGAAGTCAAGGGAGGAGGATCAGGAATTCAAGGTCAGCCTTAGCTACACAGTGAGTTCAAGGTCAGCCTGGGCTACATGAACCCTGTCTCAAGAAATAAAGCAAATCAATATCAAAAAAGAAATACTCAGCCGTGCATGGTGGCGCACGCCTTTAATCCCAGCACTTGGGAGGCAGACGCAGGTGGATCTTTGTGAGTTCGAGGCCAGCCTGGTCTACATAGTGAGTTCCAGGACAGCTGGGGCTACAGGGAGACCCTGTCTCAAAAAGACAAAAAAGAAAAAAAGAAAGAAAGACTCTTTATTATGATAAATACCTTTAATTAGAAAACTTCCAAAGTATAGTTTTCATCTTCACTGTTGGGATTTGGAGATAGGGACTGCGCTGTTAGATGGGCAGAAGCAGAGTACTGATAGTAATCACAAGTAGCTTTGCCAATGAAATAACTTCACTTTTAATCAGGGTTAGTGGTGGAACTGAGGGTCTTGTGTATGACAGACAAGCACTCTTGCAAGCAGCTTTGTGAGTCTTTGTGAGTAGGGAAAAGAGTAAAGTAATGCACAGGGCAGGAAGCAAGGAAGGACAAGGCTCTGAACAGGAGACCCTGAGTATGAAGGCAGACAAGAGCATGGGCAGTGAGTTAGTGCGAGGACTGGACTAGGAGATCTGAACCCTCATTCCCTGTGCATGGTCAAGTTGCCCAGGTGCTGTGGCAGAGTATCATAGATTGGGTGGCTCATAAATGTCAGACATTCTCAAGGCTATGGAGGCTGAGAAGTCCAAGTTCAGGCATTGACCTTTTGGGTGTTGGGTGAGAGGATCCACTTCCTTGTTCATAGCTGGCATCTTCTGTGTCCTCTAATGGCAGAAGGACCAAGGGGGCATTATAGGGTCTTACAAGAGCACTAATCCCATTTATGGAGGCGCCACCAAGACATAATCCACTCCCAAAGGCCTCTCTTCAAGGACCTTCACACTGGAGACTAGGACTTCAGCATAGGCATTTGGGGGAGACAAAAGCATCATGTCTATAGTGGGCTGTGTCTTTCTCCAGTCTCTCCTCTCTTCTTCATTCTACTCATGAGTCAAACCAAGCATCCCACAGCACCATGTACTGTGGCCCCATTGCTGGGGTCCTGGCCTTCTCTTAGCACCTCTGTCTGGCTTGACTCATTCTAATACTTACCTATAGTCTCAGAAACAGAAATAGCAGGGAGGGTTCATTGATTTAGGCTTTGTTCATGAAAACCATGCACTAAATAACTATTGTCAAGTTATTCTTTTTTGTTTGTTCTGAGACAGGGGTTGATATAGCCCAGACTGGCTTCAAACTTGCCAGGTAGCTGAGGCTGACATTGAATTCTGTGACTCCTCCTGCCTCTACCTCCTGAACTTGGGGATTACACAGGTATGCACCACAACACCCGACTCATCAAGTTATTATATTGGAGTTCTTGAATATCGAATTTATCTATACTATCAACTTCTGAATTACTTTTCTGATTTGTCAGTCAGGGACTGACTCTCCCAGTCCTGGCACACATTTCCCATGAGCCCCTGCATACTAACAGTCCCCACAGCTGAACAGTCCCCTGTCCACAGTCCCCCTGTTCACTGACCACATCTAATTGCTCGGTATTATTCCACCAAGGATTCTGGGGGCTTGTTCTTTGCAAGTCACATGGGATACATCAGCATTATTGATGATTTATCAAATGATACCGTGATAGTAAATCGGTGGCCAAATAGACATGTTTCCTGGATTTACAGG